CATTATTTGGGTTTGACATGGCCAGGGCCCGAGCTTTGAAGTCGGGAGCAGGACACCGTTAGAGCCATTTGTGCCCAGCCACCGGCTCCCATGTGGCATCACCATCCTCTGCCAGCGGCTCCCAGCGGGATGGGGATGGAGGAGCAAAGCCCCAAAACCAGATGGATGCCACCAGGCTGGCTCTGCTTGGCCTGGGTGTGTCGCAAGCTGGGCCCGTTTGGGTGAAGAATGAGGAAGCCACTTAACTGGGGTTTTATCAGCAGAAGTTCACAGCTCCCATCGTGGCATCAAACGGCCCCTGGCCTTTCAACTCCTCTCCACCAAACAAGTTGTGGGAAGGAGGATGAGGAGCACATGAAAGTGGCCACATTCAAATGGCATCAGCAAAGAGCTGGCGGGCTGACAAAGCCCCCCCTGGCACAGCCCCCAGCCCAAGGAACCAGGGAGGGAATTATCAAATCCCAAGGAACACAGAAAGGAGCGCGAGCGGCTCCGCACACATGCATTGGCACGGGCTGAAGGCTTCCCAAACCAGCGGAAGCTGGAGGAGCACAGCCAGAAAAGCGAGTATGGCAACGTGTCCCAAAAAAGCTCCCGAGGAGGAAGGATGATCCTGGCAGCTGGCAGGGTATAGGTGACCCCCTTCCCCACGCTGAGCTGCAGGAAAATGCTGACGGAGCGTGGCCCAGGGACGAAGCCGCATCGCAGCAGCAGCGATGGTTTACAACAAATAACTCTTGCCAGGTTAAGACTAATTGCATCTAAAAACAGAAATGCAAGACAAGGGCTTTAACACAACACTCAGGGTAATAGATCCGCTCTCACTGCATCCCGCTGCCAAAAAGTGTTGGATTGGATTACGGACGTTATTACATCAAAAATGGATTGAAGGGCTTAAGGACTAACAATAAACAGCAAACGCTTCGGATTTATGAGGAAACATCTACTAGGACCTTGCTTTTCCTTCAGCATTGTCATCAAACAAGGGCTCTGTGCTTTAAAGAGGCTCATGGGACAGGTCAGACACTGAGGAAGAACACCTGGAAGAGCACCTCGGCACCACATCTGCCAACAGCTGCCTGGAGTGCACCCCAAGGCTGAGCAAGGTTTCCTGGGGTCTCCACACCCCACTGAACACAGAAGGGGCTGCCAGGACCACCATCAGCCCCAAAAAACAGAGAAGGAACTGGGAACTAAGGGAGTCCATCCAGTTCATCCCCTGCCATGAGCAGGGACACCTTCCACTAAACCAGGTTGCTCAAGCCCCATCTAACCTGGCCCTGAACACTTCCAGGGATGGGACATGCCAGGGATAGACTAGGCAACATTTAACAGTTCCTTCTAACGCAAACTATTCTTTGATCCTCTGATCCAGAGCTCTGGGATAGAAGGGAGCCACTCCGGGAGCTCCTCCTCAAGTCACCCTGCTGCCAGGACATGGGGATTAATGGATCTCTATCCAGGCACCTCATTACTAGAGATAGTAAAACTGGAGCAAGTTCAAAGAGGAGCAGCAAATGCAATTAGGAGCTGGAGTGAATTAGGAGGGGAGGTGGAGGGAGCTGAACCTGCAGGGCTGGATAAGCCGTGGTGGGGCCGGAGCTGCCCACGACATCCCGGGACTGCAGGCACCAGGCAGGGGGGAGGCTATTCCAGTGGGGAGTATTTTTTAGGGAGGGGACAGGACACTGGGGACAGGGAATCCCACCAAGGCACCAAAGGCAAGCAGGGAAACACCCAGGAGAGCAGGGATGCTCTCACAGCACTTCATGATATAAAACACACAATTCCCAAATTCCCAGCTCCTTCACCCTCTCAGCACTTCATCCTGGGGATGGTGCCCACATGCTGCTGGCATCCCATGTGCCCCCCCAGCGTCTGTCTCCAGAGTTGAACTGCAGGCAGATGCTGCTGCATCTTGTTCTTTATGGAAAGCCTTAGGAATAAGCATTACCTTTCCTTATCCACCCCCAGGAGCAAAGATGCTTTTAAGGAAAGTCTGGAGCTGGTGTGAAGGGGGTCGGTGTGAGGCTCTGGAGAGGATGGGGACAGGGAACAGCAGCTTTCAAAAGCCTTTTCATTGCTAAGCCGAGGGCTGGGGCCATGTCCCTCCATGATAAAAGTGTCCCTAAACAAGGCTTGGCATATCCAAAGTGATGGCAAGGAGCAGTCCTGAATAGGAGGGACCCTGGGAAGCCCCCAGCTCCGGTGAGGAGGTTTTCCAGCTGCTGAGGAAGGTGGGGGATGAGTGGCACATGCCCTGCTCCCCTCAGCTCCAGCATTGCTTCCCCAGCTTAGAAATGAAAGGGGAGAAAAAACCCTTTTGTGTGTCCAGGCAAAGCTTGGGGAAAGGGAGGGGAGAAAAATTGGGGGGGGAAAAAAAAGACAACATGTGGGTGGTCTGCTCAGGAGACTTCTGACTTTGTTTTTTTGGCTATTTTATTTCTTGGCAAAAAGAACTCCTGGGGCTGCTCAGCAGAGGGTATGGCCAGATCACAGGAGCATCCTCAGCCCACCCAGGGGCCAAAGTTCAGCTGGCAGCTCCCAGCTCCGAGGGGTTTCGCATCAAAGCTTGGAGGAGTCAAGAGAAATTAAAGTCAGAAACGGTCCAAGGCAGGGGCAGAGGCCACTGCTGGCCCCCTGAGGAGAGGGGGGGAATCCCACAGGGATGCTCCAAGCACCCCGCTCTCTGCATCTCTATACAGCCTGAAACTGGGAACAAGAGGATAAATAGGATTTTACATTAAAAAATAAGCTTAAAAGGCTCAGCCCAACATCCGACGGGACGCACAAGCCGGGATTTCCCAAGCTGGGCTTTGCAAAATCCCGGCTGCATGTCCTGTCGGATCCACAGCGAGCTGGAGCTGGTCACCTGCAGTGACCCAGGTGTGCTGGCAGCCTTGGAGGGGAGCTGGCATCGGCCCAAAGCCGCGGGGGCCCCGCGGGAGCCGGGTTTGGAATCGGCAATGCACCGGCGGCCGCTTGTGAAAGCACCGCACCTCCCAAAGCTCCGGGAGGCTGATTTTCACTTCAGTTTTCATGTGAAATGCAAAACAGCTCCTTAAAATTTGGGTAATTCGGAGGCTGGTAAATCCTTCTGCCTCCACCTTCCTGATGGACTTGGTTACCATAAGAGGGATCCCATTTTTCTTTTTAGTGTGTTGTTCACCTCCTGAGCTCATTTTGAGGAACCTATTTGTCTTTGAGGGCTCTTTGCAGCCTGAGTCCCAGGGGCTGTAGCTTGGAGGACCCCAATTTCAGACCTCATTAGCTCAATGACCACATCAGTGCTTGAACTTGACCCCCAAACACAGAGGAGCCACTGACCAAGTGCTTCAAGACGTTTGCCTGACCCAAACCTGGCACTTTGGCCTCTCTTCCAAATTTTTGCCCGCTGCAGGCAAAACCTGTATTCAATCAAGCTTTCCATCAGCTGAAGGACAGCAGAAGGGCTGAACTTCATGGTCCCCAGAGCCACCAGGCTGGTGCCAGCTCTGGTAAGGGAGATGGGAGCCTACATGGGAGTTGTGCCAGGGCATTTGGTATCCCCAGCCCATCTGGATTATCTGGGATGGAACCAGGGTGTCCTGCCCCCAGTGGCTTCAAAGGTGGTGCCACTCAAGTGACATGGCACAGACATCCCCATGTCTGGACAGTGACAGTGACCATTGCTCTGAGAGAGCCCAGCCCTGCCACAGTGACTCAGCCCTGCAGAGCCTGGGGTCACTGCCAGTGCCCAGCCGAGCTGGCTCTGCAGGTTGTGGCGCCAGGTTGTCCCTGCTGTCACCTCTCCTGTTAGGGAAACTTCCCTGGCTGACCATCTAGGAGCCACTTTTGTATCTCCATGGCCACACAGGGAACAGAACCCCTGTGAGCCCCCGTCACCACCCACCAAAATTTGCTGTGACCGAAGTGATGAGGGCTCAAGGCTGACCTGCCAGAGGAAGGCTCGGCTGCTTCTTCTGCATCAGGTTTATTCCAAATTATTCTGCAGCAAGATTCCAACAGCCCCAGCCAGGCTCTCTGGGGACATCCAGACCAGCAGCCTCACCACAGCACCACGTTACAGCACAGACCCCCTGTCTCCGCTGCCCTCCACGGCCCTGCTGCCCCCTCCCCAGAGATTCCAGGCTAAAAATACCCTGTTTCCAGCCAGAACACACCGCTCCCACGGCCAGGCGCTCACTCCCACACAGGCAGTGACCCCTGTGCCGGCCGCTCGCCGCAGAGCCCACGGCACACAGCGAGGGGAGCTGAGCCGTGGCCACCGTGCCCTTTGCGGTGCACCCAGCCAGGCAGGGACAGCCAGGCTGAGGAGGAGGGGAGGGGACAAAGAGAGAGCTGGCAGCACTGCTCAGACACAGCTGAGCTCCCCCTCCATCCACAAAAGAGCAGGCACAAACGGATACGTTTCTGTGCAGCAATCCCCTGCACGCACAGACCACAGGCTCCAAGAAAATTCCAGCCTCCTTCTCTCCCCCCTCCACAAAATGCCATGGTGCACCAAGACACAAACAGAACAAGCCAGTGTGCAGAAATTTTCAGCCACTTTGATCACATCACATCACACACTGGACACCACCGGCACTTCACGTTTGCTGGGGCTGCTCCTGGAGGCAACACCCAGGAATAATGACAAGCATCACCATTCCTCCTTCTCCCCAGCCCCAAAGCAAAGCCCTGCAACACTTCCAGCAAAGATGGCAGCAAAAAATAGGCTCCAGGCATGACAGCGCTCCAGGGCTGACCCCAGATGGGGATGTGCTCCTGCTCCCAGCCATGAGCAGGGCAGGGGACACAGCACAGCAGCCAGATAGGGACTGGTGACCCACTCGGCCAGTGACACATTCCTCCCCCTGCTCCCATCCAGCAGGACATATTTTCCATCCGTGTCAGCTCTCTGCACCGGCCAAGTCACACACAAGCGCCTGGTGACATTCTCCAGGCGCCCGAGCCCTCCCAAGCCAGGGCTGGCAGCGAGGAAGAGGAGGGCGACTCACATGTGATGAAGTAATCCTGTTGCCGCTTGAATTCCAGGCCCATGTAGTTGGGGCTGAACTCCTGGAACTTGATGGTGAAGCGGATCTCCTGCTCGGGCCGGTTGCACGTCACCAGCACGTTGGGGTCCATGACGGTGCTGCAGGCATCCGCCTGCTCCTTCCTCACCAGGTACAGTTTGTAGTACTCGTAAGGCTTGGACGGCTCCGCTTTGGGGCAGATAATGTCCAGTTTATCCCCAATCTCTGGGTAGATGACCAGCCCCTTCCCAGTCATGAATCTGGAAGAGAGGAGGGTAAGAGGTTACCATGTGCTAGAGCAGAGGCGACACCAGCCCAGCCCACCCCACTCTGACACCATTTATTTTGTGTTTCAGCTCTGCTGCTCCTCCTCTGTAAGACGGGTTTTGACACCAAAACCAAGCTCTCTTCCCTCACCATCCCAGCCCATGCATGGAGCCAGCAAAGGCTCCTGCTGACAAAACCAGGGCTGGCTTGGGTCAGTCCCGCTCGCCAGCCATGATGAGGGCGGGCACCCTTCCCAGCCCCAAGCCTGGCATCCAACCGGGAATGAGTCTTCCCACACAGGGCTGGGAGACGCCACGGCTCTGCCCGACGGCCAGGCAAGGAGCTTCCTGCAGGGACAGGCAATAATTAGGCATAGGGAGAAGTCCTGACAATGGGGCACAGGGAGGGATCCCGTCCACGCCCCGGCTCCCTGAGGAATTCCTATCCTTAAATGGAAGGGAAGGAAGCATCCTGCAGGACAACTTCTGCCGAACCAGGCTCAAGAGCGTGCCCAGGAGCGTGGGAGGACCGGATGGAGAGGAGCAAGGAGGGAGGAAAGCTATTCGGGGCTGGAAGGCAGGGCATCGGGAAGGGTAGGAAAGCGAGATGCTGATAATTAACATTCGGATATCGTTATGGTGGGGCAAGGCACTGATTAGGTTTTTTCAGCGTGAAGGAGAGGATTAGGGCAGCAAGGAGGGAAGCAGCAGATCATCTACTTTGATGTAGGCAACTAAACGCGTTCCTGATGGGAGATAAGGTGGGAATGGATTTTCCTGCAGAGTTATCTCTGCTGCAACTCCCTCACGTAATCTGGGCACGGCAAAACGCAAAGAGAGCGCTTTGCCAAGGCTGCACGGCCATGCTTCCCCTTCCACTGTCGGACACAGCCCATCCCTGCCCCAGCCCACCCTGGAGATTGGATGGGGGCCGGGATACCTTCTCCCCCAGCCAGCTGCACCAGCTGGAGCTGCAGGCTCCATGGAAGGAAGATCAAACACACAAGACCAACCTGCTCCGTGGCTCCATGCAAGTCTTAGCAAGAAGCCACAGAGCTGGAACCAGCACCAGGGCTTTGGCTGCAGGAGCCCAGCAGATCCACAGGCTGGGCTGGGAGCAGGCAGGCGGAGCCAGAGCCCACGCACCCCCAGTGTACTTGGCACAGGCTCCGGAGCTCGGTGCCAGCTGTAGTAGCAGGGCAGACACACAGACATCATCTGCACCTCAATTGCAGCTTGCTGGGTCAGAGGAGCGTCCCAGGCACCCAGGGCACGGCACAGGGATGGCGGGCACAGCTCTATCACAGAGCTGGATTTAGAGGAGTTACAGGTCCATCCTCCCTGCCTAGCTGCAGCTCCACCACATCAGCTCCAGCAGTACCCAAAGCAGCACAATGGGGCATTTGGGATCATCCCAGCACCAGCACCACTGGCACAGCACCACCTGGGCCACGTGAGGTTGCAGGGAGTTTTGTACAAGTCGTGATTCAGGCAGGTGACCAGGAGAGAGTGGGAAACTTGGCCTCTGGGGGGTCTCTAGGGACACAGGTGGGATGCAGAGCCTGCCTCCATCCTGGCACTGCCGGCAGGTGAGCCATGCTTTGCTTCACACTACCAAGTAGGTCACCTGGCCAGTGGCCAGCACGCGCTTCCAAAGACTCGGCAGCGATAAAGGCTTCCCCACCCACGGCCGGAGCCCTGACGCAAGGCCGGAGCAGGAGCAGGAGGCAGGAGCAGCCCCTGTCCCTCCCTCCCCGCCCGGCCGCAGACACGCAGCGCAAGTGAACACTTGCATGGGTTCCCACCCCGAGAGGCAGCTGGATCCCACACTCCTTTCTCCACGGTTGGGCTGAGTCAGAGGCTTCCTGGCACAGGACTCTGGAGTGACTCAAGCTCCCTCCTCCAGCCCCTGCCAGCTCCCTCCTGCCCAGAAGATGCCAAACAGGAAGCCACAAACAAGTCAAGCAGATGTCTTGCACCGCCAGAGCAGGAGGAGAAGGCTCCTATCCACCCTCATCTCCATACCAGGAGGACCTATCACACCTCTGTGGCCAAAACCTTGGCCAACACCTGCAAACCAACCGGTCCCTGGGCCACCAGCCTGTTGAGATCAGGCCAAATGGATTTGTAAGCAGGGGAGGGGCCATGAACCAACCAAGGGAGCTGAAAACCTCCCAGTACCACATCCTGCTGGCACCTCTTCATCTCAGCAACTTCAGGACTAAGGCCTACCTTTGGTTCAGGTAAGCTCTTCCACAAATGCTCAGCTCCAGAAGCACACAGCTGCTGTCTGGGAATTAGCCCAGGAACATCTTCCAGATCCACAAAAACACAGAGCAAGACAGAGCCACTTCCCTGTGCGTGGAGCTTTTGCACTGCTCCCTCCAACCGCTGTTCCCCACCAGCCACATTCCCACCTGCACAGAGACCGTTTTCCCTTTGTCTTCCAATTTTCCTGATTTTTTTCTCCTCCATTTCCCCTCTTCTCCAACAGCAGGGCTGTATCCAGATGACAGCCTGGGCAGCACAGGAGAGGAGATAAACCTGAAGCATGTGCCTCGAACCCATCACACAGCTCTTCCAGCTTTTCACCACACACAGAGACCTTTATTTCCCCCAAAAATTCTGCTTTGTCACAAGAACAGCTTGTGATGATCATCCTAGGGAAGACCAACAACAGCTCCCACCATGCCAGAGGCTGGTTCTCCAGGAAATTCTCCATTAAAATACACAGTGAAAAGCAACATTTATGACAAGAAAATGAGACAAAAAATAATTCCAAAAATTGTCACATGTTGCCTGAATGCAGTATTTCAGCCAGTTCTAGAGATGAGGAATTTTAGTTTCAAGGGATGGTTGAAGACAAAAAAGGAATTACACTCTTGACTTGTCTTCACAAGGACATGTCTTCAGATTTATCTTAACCCGGAGGAGTGAACAGAGCAACTCTTAAATTAATAGGGAAATTCATCGTGCCCTCAGAGCACCCACTGTAATTTCAGGGAAGGAAGGGGGAATCTGCTGTTCCTCTGGAAAACACAACTTGATTTCCCTGTTTTAAGGTGACTTAGCTCAACCTTAAGGCTGAAACAACTCTCAGCATTAGGAATCACTCTCCCCTACCTTGCCTACCACACAGAAGGAGGAGCTTAATGGCTCCAACTTTATTCCTGCCCCATCCCTGAAGCATCCAAGGCCAGGTTGGATGGGGCTTGGAGCAACCCGGGATAGTGGAAGGTGTGGATGAGCTTTAAAGTCCCTTCCAACCCAAACCACTCTGGGATCCTGTTATGGGCACCATCACAGTGTCCTTTCTCCTGGTGTCCAAGGGGGTGGGAATGATTAACTACAGCAAACAGAACTTAAATATTATTTTGCCAGCTGAGCAGGTGGAGAGGGCCGGCATCTTCATCCCTTAAAGCCTCTGATTTTTGGGTGGCACCTGTGGCTGCCCACCCGCAGAGCCAAGGGACCATCTCAGCCATCCCAGCCAGGCATCTCCATCCCTAGCGCCACTCCAGGCCCCCAGCTCCCGGCCCCGCAGGTTCCTTGGGAGCGATCAGGTGGCAGCATCCAATTTCCTCATTGTTGCAGGAGGTGTTTTCTGATGGGAAAGGTGAAAAGGGGATTTGTGAGCCTTGTAAACCGATTCCTCTGAGTTGGGTAAACAACGGGAGCTCTGTTGGCAGCAGGATGCTGGGATGCCGGAGCAGGGAGATGGGATTAAAGTGCAGCCTCTCCCGTGCCCTGAGTTGGGGGGCTCCTGGTGGGGCCCCCAATCCCTTGCACAGCCTCCCTCACTTCCCCTTGGGGATTCAAAATGCAGGATCTGATGGAGTGACCAGGGGCTACAGGTGGGACCTGCTTGAAGAGACATAGACTTAGCCAGGGCCTAGTGTCAGAGACATCCCAGAGAGGGTTTGCTTGGAGAGGAGGAAGAACACAAGCTAAAGAGGAAAACAGCACATTTGGCCAGAGTAAGATCAGGAATCATACTGGGAATGATACCCCACTCCTCCACACCCCCCTCCCATGCAGTCATCTCTCCTCCATGTGGGCACACATGGATAGACATGGATGAGCATTCCCAGCAATCCTGCAGACACAAGTGTCCTGCAGATAAGTCATCCAGAACCTTAAAATCCAACAATCTTTCAGCTCTTTGTTAGGGAAGACCAAAAACTGACTTAGAAATACAAATTTTTAAGAGAATGGGTTGACATGTTTTCCAACTTCTCTGCCCCTGGCTCCAGGCATTCCTTGCACCACATCAACCACAAAATCTCCAGGGCAGCCTCACCTTTCCCCACGTCCATGGCATACAATACCACTCACCTAATTTCAGGCTTGGCAGAAACAGAACAACATTTCCCAAGAACCTTCTCCTTGGAGAAGATGTTCTAAAGCTGATGCTGACATACATATAAGATGACATATGCTAAATGCTGTTTGCTTCAAAGAAATCCAAAAATAACTGGATCTTACATGGAGGACGTGTATGTCTGGCAGGGAAGGCTGACAATGCCCGGCAGAGCGAGACCTGCAGGAGCTGGGAGGTTTTCCTGGTGTCTGGGCAGCTGAAGCCCCCATGGGCCCTGCTCTCCACACCAACAGAGCATGTGAGTCCTTCCAGACAGATCACAGCTCCCACCCACCGGGAGTCTCCTTAAGGAAGGGACGGGAAAGGGCCAGATCCAGTAAAAAACCCAAAGCTGTGTGTTCAAACTGGGTGTGGGATCCTGAAAAACACCCCTGAACCCTGCAATTCGCTGGTGCCCAGCCACACACAAATCCAATCCTGCCCTCTCTGCCTCCCTCATCCAAGCTTCCCTGGGACACAGCAGCCATGTCCAGGCACTGAGGACTCTCTACCATCGGCCAGAAGAATCAGTCCTGTCCCCAGAGCTTTTTTCCAGACCCCAATGTCACAGAGCCACATCACACTCCTGCCATTGGAGGGTCCCTGCACAGCTCATCCAAAGCTCCCTTGGTGA